TGCAGCGGTGCATGCGTGGAGAACAGATTTTTGGAGTCAGCTCCCTTTTTCCACCATGGGACCCAGGGATCAAATCCAGGCCATCGAGCTTACCCAGCAAGCACTTTTACCTGCTGAGCCATCTCGACAGCCCCGAACTTCTAATAACTGGGCCAGCTTCAGAAACGCGAGGTCACAGACACCACTGAAATGAAAGTAAAGCCCCTGAGGCCTGCTCCCTCTCATTGGCCACAGAATCACACAACAGCTGGCACACAGCAGGGGCTCAATAAATAATCAGTGGAATCAATGTGTATGTAGTCAGTGGGAAGATGACTGGTGGAGTTGGGTCGATTACAGGAAGTAAGCTGGACCCAAAGCTCTATATGATGGAGAGGTGTGTGCACACCTCTCCACAGAGTGATGCATCCCTGATCTCAAGCAGACATGTGTTGAGAGTCCCTGCTCTCAAGGGACTGACAGTCCCTCATGGAGAAGTGGATTATAAACAGATACAACCACACAGTATGAAATAAGAGGTGCTCGGAAGAAAAGCAAAGCCAGCCAGGCCAGATGGCTCAGTTGGTGGAGCGCTTGCTGTGGAAGCATAGGGACCTGAGCCCATGAAAAAATACAGGTGTGGTGTACCTGCCATCCTAGTGCTGGAAGTGGGGGACAGGAGGAGCCATGGCGCTTTCTGGTCAGCCAGTCTAGCCAAACTGGCAAGTTCATCAAGAGACCCTGTTTCAAAAAATATATAGTGGAGAGAAATTGAGAAAGACGCCCAGTGCTGACCTCTGACCTACAGAGAGAGAGAGAGAGAGAGAGAGAGAGAGAGAGAGAGAGAGAGAGAGAGAGAGATGGAGAGAGAGAGAGAGAACAAGATAGGCTAAATGGGTGGTGCAGCTATGGCTAAAATGGCTAAAAACCTCTCAAGAAGATGGTATACAAGCCTGGTATGATGGCACCCACCCATAACTCTAGGACTTGGGAGGCTGAGGCTAGAGATTCAGAGTCCTAGGCCTGCCTGGGAGACTAAGTGAGATCCTAGCTTTAAAAAGAAAAAAAAAAAAAGAGCCATTGGGGCTTGGGGCGTAGCTCAGTGGTGGAACACTTGTCTGGCATGTGTGAGGCCCTGGGCTCAAGCCCTGACACCCCGAAATAAAAAATGATGGCATTTGAGCAGAGACATAAAGGAAGCCATGCGGATATCTGAGGCAGGAGATTTCCTCCACACGCGGAATAGTTGAAAGAAGCACGAAGGCATTTCATCCGGTACCCAGGCCCCAATTTCAATCGACCGAAACAAAAGAAAGGCTCTTTGAGGTGCAGACCTGAAAGCAGAACAGAAATACACTCCACATGAAAGGCAAACCTTTGCTTAATCTGTTTTCGCTGCTATTGAAATCTTAAGTGCCTCCTTTACGGCAGATGGCTCAAAACCTGCCGGGGAGAGCGATGCTTTAGAAATACAACTCCAAATGAAAAACAAAACAACATCGAAGATAGCCATGATAATAGCCTCGCATGAAATAACTGCAAGTTGTGAGCGCTCTGCTTGATGAGATTAAACAGTTGGAGGCAAATGGTGCGGAGCTCAGTAGAGGAAAATATTCTGATAAATCATTGCAAGGTCCCAAGTGGAAGCATAACCCACAGAGATGTTCTTTGGGGGATCATCGGCTCATTCAGGAAATATTAGCTGGGCACAGTAGTGAATGCCTGTAATACCAGCACCTGAGATGCTGAGGCAGGAGGATTCAGTCAGTCTGGACTCCATGGCAAGACTCTCTCCGAAAAGGAACTGCTATTGAGGAGCCAGGTGTCTGCAACACTTGTGCTTGCTGACTTGAAAAATGAACTGAGGGTATGAGTTAGCATGAGGCTCAGTTAGCAGAGCACATGTCTGGCATTCACGGTGTCCTGGTTCCATCTTCAGCACTGGGCCTGGTGGTGTGTGCTGGGGAGGTCAGAGAAAAAGGATAATAAGTTTGAAGTCATCCTCTGCTCTGCAGTGAATTGGGCTCTGCGTGTAGCCTGGACTACCTGAGATCCTAGCTCAAAAAGATTAAAAAAGCAAAGATGAATGGAACTCATATCTGTTCTTCTGAGGTTTCAGTCTGGTCCCAGGCTTATCATTTGATTTAGTATTTTAGTCTTCAATCTCATCTTTTACTCTGTCTTTTATTTCCTGCTCTATCCCTCTTATCCCATAAGTATGATTCTCGGGCTCTCTGTCATTTTATCCGTGCTTATAGATGCTTTTACATTTTGAGCACACAGCCACTTAGCTAAACAACTTTCTGTATTGTCTAGTGTGTGTTTTGTAAACAATTGACACTAAATGACTAAATCTGCCATTCTTTTTCCTTGAGGTCTGCTGATGTTGACTGACATGGACTTGGTCCTTTTGACAGTGACACTGAGTTCTTCAATCATGCACATTATGTTTTATTGAATAATTCCCTACTGAAGAACATTGAAGCTACTTCCAAGTGTGCTGGTGTAACAACGCTGTGACTTATTTCTGGGAGTTTAGGTCAGACGTTTCCCTAAGGTTGGAACACAGCTGTCATCTGTGATATAAAGTGTGGTGATATTTTGTTTATGATCTAACAAATAAAAGCTTGCCTGAAGATCAGAGTGCAAAGCTAACCATACTAGTTAGCCATAGAAGCCAGACAGTGGTGGCACATACCTTTAATCCCAGCACTTGGGAGACAGAGGCAGACAGATTCTTTCTCAATTTGCAGCCACTCTGAGCTACACCAAATTGATTCAGTCTAAAGAGAAACACCTCATGAAAACTTAGGATCCCAAACCCTTAATCCCAGCACTAGAGAGGAATATAAGGCAGGAGGAGACAGGAGCTCAGGGGCAGTCTGAGGAACAGTGCAGTCTGGAGATGCAATCTGAGGACAGGATCGCCTTTTTGGTCTGAGCATTGGTAGAGGTGAGAACTCGATAGTGGCTGGCCGCTTTGCCTCTCTGATATTCAGCTTTAACCCCAATATCTGTCTCTGAGTTTTTATCATTAAGACCTACTAGAACTTGTGCTACAATAAAGTGGTCCATGACGCTACTAAACACCATGTGGCTATACTGCTTTCCAAACTGGCTGGACCAGTTTTCACTCCTTGCAGCAGTGTGTTGTGTCTGCTGGTTTTCTCACTGTGACAGGAACAGCTTGGTCAGGGAAAGGTTTGTTTGGGTTCGTGGTTTCAGAGGGATTGCAGCTTGTCTCAATGGGGGAATCCACAACAGCAAATGTGATTTGTTCTGTGGCAGCAGGAGCATGGGGAGGTGGTGTGGATCAAGAAGCCGAGGGTGGAATGAAAAGCGGGGCCAGTTAGGGTTACTACTGCTGTGATGAAATACCATGGCCAAAAGCAACTTGAAGAGGCTTCATCTTCCACACCACTGTTCATAAACATCAAAGGAAGTTAAAAAGGGAACACAGGCGGGGCAGGAACCAGCCTCCAGGTTGATGCAGAGACCAAGGAGAAATGCGCTTAGTGGCTCGCTTTCTATGCAGGGTGATTTTTATAGAACTCAGGACCACCAGCCCAGGAGTCCTACCCACAATGGACTGTGCTCCTCCCAATCAGTCTTTAGTTAAGAAAATGCCCTAAAGGCTTGCATGAAGCTTGATATTATGAAGGCATTTTCTCATTTGAGGCTCCCTCTTCTCATATGACTATCGCTTGTGTCAAGTTGACATAAAACTAGCCGGCACAGCCAGTATACGACCCTTAAAGGCCCATCTCCTGTGACACACGCCTCCACCAACCAGACCCTACCTCCTAAAATTGCCACAGCCTTCCAAAACAGTGCCACTAGCTTGTGTTCTTACCCATGGCAGGTGGGAAGACTCTCCCATCCTAACACTCCACCCCAAAGCATAGCCACTGCAAAATGCATTCTGCCTGATTTTTAAAAGTCCTCATGGTCCCAAGAGTGCCAGCACCATTCAAAAGTTCAGACTCTTCAGAGATCTAAGGCAAACTTTGAGCTGTAAGCCTCTGTAAAAACTTAAAACTTTCCCAATATACAATGGCACAAAGTAAACATTATGACTCCAACAGTGAAGAGTGGGGAACAACTCATGTAGCCAAAGATGGTTGTGAACCCCTGATCCTTTGGCCTCACCTTTCAAGTGCTGGCATGAGAGGTGTGGACCACAACATCTGACTGCAGGACCTTTTGAAGGATTTTATGGGGAGGGGTGTTTCTGAAACAGGGTCTCACTATGTAGCCCTGATGGACCAGAAACTCACTATAAAGACCAGGCTGGCCTCAATTCACAGAGATCTACCTGCCTCTGCCTCCTGAGCATTGGACTTAGAAGCACACCCAGCTCTACTGTAGACATTTAAAAAAAAAAAAAGATTATTTATGTATTTTATGTATTTGAGTGCTCTTTCACCTTTATGCCAGAAAAGGGCACCAGATCTCATTACAGATGGTTGTGAGCCACCATGTGGTTGCTGAGAATTGAACTCAAGACCTCTGGAATCGCAGCCTGTGCTCTTAACTGCTGAGTGATCTCTCCAGCCCCATACGCTTTTGATAGAGAAAATGTATCAGCGTAAGAAAGCTACTTTAACTACAACTTGATTTTTTTCCCTGTATCTATTATAATTTTTCTCTAACAAATATTGGTAGATTCATCTGATTCTAAATAAACCCTACTGTGAATTTTTAATTGTGAATTTCCCATTTGTAGTTAGAGGCTGATTTATAAGTCTTCTCATACTGTACCTATTTTGTTATAATTTGGTTTAACTAGATTTAACAATTAATTGGGAGACTGTGTCCTTTATTCTCTGTAAAACCTTTGAAGAAATAGAAACGAGTTGTTCAGTAGAAGTTTGGTAGAATTTGCCTGCAAAATCTCCCTGGCCTGATGACATTTTGATTAAGCCTGGGGATGGTTACTGACTGTGTTTGAATGGAAATAGTGGCAATTTTTAATAGGCACTCAATAATTAAATTATTGAATGAATGAATGAAGCAAAGAATGTGTTAATCCATTTTATTTGCCTTGTACTTACTTTGGTATTTCACAATTTTTCCCCAAAGAATGAATCCACTGTTTTCGATTTTCACAAAATGTTGACCCTACCATGGTCAACTGCCTCTCTTGAAGTTATTTTGATAACCTCCGTCTTTCATTACTCAGTCACACATTTCAGGGGAGACTGGTCTACCCAGTTTTGGAGAGGACCCAGATTCAGCTTCTGTGGAAATGGTGGCCCCTTTTCTAGCCAGTGACAGGGTTAGATGTGAATGTCAGATCCATGGAAGCGGAAGACATGCAAGGGAAGGGCTCAGGGGACAGATTTTAAGGAAAGAGGATTTTCTTTTCTTTATTTTTTGATTCTATGACAAAAATAGGAAAGCAGAATGAAAAAAAAAAAAAAGAGCCCTTTTCTGGTATCGACCATAGCGGTAATGATGTGAGATCTGGACCTTCTGTAGCCATCTTGTGTCTCAGAGGAGAACTGGTGTACAGACTAAGATAATGCACTGAGGACAGAAAGAAACTTGGCTTTGATGACTTTAACACAAGTCCTTGAGTTACATTACTTTGGTGCCTCTTGTTGCTAGAGAGGTAACAGACTATTTTTAAAACAGTTTAGCTAATTATTTCTTCTTCTTCTTCTTCTTCTTCTTCTTCTTCTTCTTCTTCTTCTTCTTCTTCTTCTTCTTCTCCTTCTCCTTCTCCTTCCTCTCCCCTTCTCCTTCTTCCTCTTCTTCATCACCATGACATCCCCATCACTGCAGCTCAGAGCATCCTGCAACAGCAAAACTCTTGCCATTGTGTACAAATGTTTCTATAGCAGCTAGCTATTCTTTTATTTTCATGTATCTACACAGTGTGCTATGTGTGTGCAGGTGCTGCAGGAAGCCAGAATAGTGAATCAGATCCCTTGGAGCTGGAGCCACCGGAGTTTAAGTGTTGGTTCCCAGCTGAGTCTTCTGCAAGAGCAGATGAGCTCTTAACTGCTGAGCCACCTCTCCAGCCCCATCCTGTGCTCCATGTGCTCGCCCTTTGTCAGGAATTGCCCCTCTTCAGCTCTTTGTTTAAAATGTACTGAGGGCACACCCCAGATCGAATATGGAGGTCAGAGAACCACTACCTGGAGTTGGTTCTCCCCTTCTGCCATGGGTCCCAGGGATTGAAGTCATGGCATTAGGCTGGCCTAGGGAGCATCCTTACCTACGGTGATGGTTAGTTTTGGTCAACTTAACAGAAACAAGAGTTAGCTGGGAGCACTGTCTTGATTGAAGATTGATGTAGAAGGGGCCAGCACTCTGAGGATCCTGCTGCCCATGGGCAGGTGTCCTGGGAGGTGTATTAATTGTAGCTAAACTGACAGGAGCCTGGAAGCTAACCAGTAAGTAGCATTCCTTCATGGCCTCTCCGTCAGTTCCTGCTTCCAGGATCCTGCCTTGAGTGTCTGACCCGGCTTCTCCCAGTGATGGACTAGGACAACCTGCAAAGTGCAACAGGTCCTTCACTTCTGTCTTAGTTACAGTTTCTATTGCTGTGAAGACACAGCAATGATCACAGCAATTCTCTGAAAGGAAAACATTTGGTTGTGGTGGCTCACTTACAGTTCAGAGGTTCAGTCCGCTATCATCATGGTGGGACACGGCAGCCTGCAGGCAGACATGGTGCTGGAGAAGGAGCTGAGAGTTATTATATCTTGACTCACAGGCAACAGGAAGTGGTCTGTCTCGATGGGCGTGGTTTGAGCATATATGAGACCTCAAAACAGGCTCCACAGTGACATACTTCCTCCAACAAGACCATACCTACTCCGACAAAGCCACGCCTCACCTCTCATTAGCGCCACTCCCTTTGGGGGCCATTTTCTCTCAAGCTGCCACACCTCCACAAGCTGCTTCTGGTCACAGTGTTTTAGCATAGCAATGGAAAATAAGCCAAACACCCACTGAACCAAGTCAAAAACCCTTCTTTAAAAAAAACAACTGTTAATCCCAGTTATTGTTCCTCCCCCACAGCTGACAATGCCTTTAGTTATCCTGTTTTCTGTCTTCAATTCACTATGCTTTTCACTCCTTTTAAAATTGACACTTAACAAGTGTACCATTTATGTGGTAGTTCTACCTTGTCCTTTTTTTTTTTTTTTTTTTTTTTTTTTTTTTTTTTTTTTTTTTTTTTTTGTTAAGCTTTTTTGAAACAAAGTCTGACCATGTAGCACAGGCTGGCCTGGAACCCTCTGCAACCCTCCTGTCTTTACCTTCCTGGCTTCTAAGAAATGCATTCAAAGGTATAACTTGCCCTGTAACAAATACCTTGGCTACACTTTACTGGTTTCTGTGCATCTTTGTCCTAGATATTATTTTTCCCATGACACTTGCCCTGGGGAATAGAGGCCTGATTCTGAGTTTCCGGACCGGTACAGCTTTGAATTATTGATTCCTGCCTCACTTAGCAAATTGCTCAGAACTCTTCAACTCTTAGGAATCCCTTCATTCTTCTGGAGCTCAGTATGTGATCTGGTTCTGTATATTTTGTGTGATTGGGGATAGTCAGTGCTCTGGGCTCTGTGACTGGGGATAGTCAGTGCTCTGGGCTCTGTGTGTTTGGGGATAGTCAGTGCTCTGGGCTCTGTGACTGGGGATAGTCAGTGCTCTGGGCTCTGTGTGTTTGGGGATAGTCAGTGCTCTGGGCTCTGTGACTGGGGATAGTCAGTGCTCTGGGCTCTGTGTGTTTGGGGATAGTCAGTGCTCTGGGCTCTGTGACTGGGGATAGTCAGTGCTCTGGGCTCTGTGTGTTTGGGGATAGTCAGTGCTCTGGGCTCTGTGACTGGGGATAGTCAGTGCTCTGGGCTCTGTGTGTTTGGGGATAGTCAGTGCTCTGGGCTCTGTGACTGGGGATAGTCAGTGCTCTGGGCTCTGTGTGTTTGGGGATAGTCAGTGCTCTGGGCTCTGTGACTGGGGATAGTCAGTGCTCTGGGCTCTGTGTGTTTGGGGATAGTCAGTGCTCTGGGCTCTGTGACTGGGGATAGTCAGTGCTCTGGGCTCTGTGTGTTTGGGGATAGTCAGTGCTCTGGGCTCTGTGACTGGGGATAGTCAGTGCTCTGGGCTCTGTGTGTTTGGGGATAGTCAGTGCTCTGGGCTCTGTGACTGGGGATAGTCAGTGCTCTGGGCTCTGTGTGTTTGGGGATAGTCAGTGCTCTGGGCTCTGTGACTGGGGATAGTCAGTGCTCTGGGCTCTGTGTGTTTGGGGATAGTCAGTGCTCTGGGCTCTGTGACTGGGGATAGTCAGTGCTCTGGGCTCTGTGACTGGGGATAGTGAGTGCTTTGGGCTCTGTGATTGGGGATAGTCAGTGCTCTGGGCTCTGTGATTGGGGATAGTCAGTGCTCTGGGCTCTGTGACTGGGGATAGTCAGTGCTCTGGGCTCTGTGACTGGAGATAGTCAGTGCTCTGGACTTGGGGTGAGGTTTTTATCTATTAGTTTATTAGGTGTGCTCAAATGCTCCATGCCTTTGCTTTTGCTCTCTGTCAGTTTCTGAGAGGATGTGTTCCCATTTGCAGTTACCACTTTGAGTTCACCTACCTTGCTCTGGAAGTCCACCAGGAAGCAATTATTTAAGTTATCACTAAGTTGGACCATCAGGCTCACCTGTGCTGTGACAGCACCCTGTCTCCTCAGAGAAAGGATTTTTTTTTAACTGTGTGGTTCTTTGGGTTCATTTGAATGCATTGTTATCCTAGCTTTCTTTTTGTTTTCATTTACTTGATATATATTTCTCACTTACTTGTAATGAACCAAGCAATATATGTTCACATGATTCAAACTTAAAATAACATGGTAAGCTGGACGTTGATGGCGCACATCTTTAATCCCAGCACTCGGGAGGCAGAGGCAGGTGGATCTCTGTGAGTTCGAGGACAGCCTGGTCTACAGAGAGAGATCCAGGACAGCCTCCAAAGCCACAGAGAAACCCTGTCTCAAAAAGCCAAAAAACCAAAACCAAAACAAAAACAAAAAACAAAAAACCATGGTAAGCTTGGATAAGAGGACTTGACAGGTAGGATAATCAGACTCAGTAACTGAGTATCACATGTCACAGAGAGGATGCTGAATGCCCTCCAGAGAAGGAAGTGATACACTGTCACTTCATATACAGGAGATAGACATGCTAACTATCCTGATATAATTATTATTAATATGTAGTGAAATGCTACACTAGACCTCACAAACATGTAAAATTGCTATGTATCCACGTACCTAGTTAAAGAAAGCCCAAAATAATATTAAAAACTCTGCTGGGAGGGGCTGGAGAGATGGCTTAGTGGGTAAAAGCACTGGCTGCTCTTGCAGAGGACCTGATGTCTGTTCTCAGCATCCACATGGCCATTCACGCCCATTTGTAATTCCAGCTCCAAGGGATCTGCTGTCCTCCTTAGTCTCCAAGGGGACCAGGCACATACATGATGCACATACATACATGCAGGCAAACACTCATACACATAAAAAAAAAAACAAACTTAAACTCTTTCCCCCTATCTGATTGGCCTTTTTCTGGTTTCCTGACTTTCCCCTACTCACTCCCACATAAATTCACACATGCAACAGTTCAAAGCTAGTATCTGCACAAAAGGGAGAGCATGGGGTTTGTCTTTCTGAGGCTGATTATCTATTAATATAGTTTCAGTTCCATCTCTTTTCCTGCAATTTCGTGGTTCTCCTCATTGCTGAATGAAATTTCTCTCTCTCTCTCTCTCTCTCTCTCTCTCTCTCTCTCTCTCTCTCTCTGTGTGTGTGTGTGTGTGTACCACATTTTCATTACACAGCTAGACTGCTTTTATTTCCTTGTTGTTATGAAAATAGCACAGATGAGCAGGATGGGCACATGTCTCTGAGGTATGACCAGTCTTCTTTACACTGTCCTGAGCCTGAGCCTGAAGTGCTTCTTGTTTTATAAATCAAAGGCATAAAGCAGCCCTGCGCTGAACAAGCCTGACAGCTCCACTTTTCCAACAGCTTGTGCACATTCTTGGTCTCAGAGTCATGTTTTGGCAATTCAAAATAGTCAAGCCTTTTCATTGTTATTGTATCTGTTATGGTGACCTTTGATGACTGACCTTTTAATGCTGCTATTTTAATTGTTTGGTGTTGCTATGGACCATGCCCAGAAGAGATAATGTGCTGAACCAATGTGTGTCATCTGACTTCTGTATCCAAATACACTGGTTACTCCACTTTCTCTCCCCTCCAACTCCCCTAACTCACTAAGACAACACTGACATCAGACCAAATAATAACTCTACACGGCCTCTAAGTGTTCAAATCCAAGGAAGCTGAAAACTGTAACAGGCCAAATGTAGGCTTCTTGCCTGAGTATCTCAACTTGTATGAAGGAAAATATGGATAAAACAACTCCTTCAGTGAGCAAGGAACAACAAAAAAGACAGAAAAACCCACTGTTGATACAGAGGAATGTTTAATGGTCTGGACAAAAGATCAAACCAGCCATGACATTCCTGTAAACAAAGTCTAATCCAGAACCATGCCCTAACTTGTCAGTTCTGTGCTGGCTGGGAGAAGATGGACAAGGGAAGGTAAGACACTCCCAGAGGTTGGTACATGTAGCTTGAGGAAAGAATCCATCTCCATAGAAGAGTAAGGTGGGGAAAAACCCACAGAATCAGCTGACCTGAGCTAGTGAGAGATCACTGACTCAGGTCTGACAAATGGGGAACCTGCATAAGACTGAACTAGACTCCCTTAATATAGGTGACAATGGTGTGACTGGGACAATATATGAGGCCACTAGCAGTGGGTCCAAGATCTAACACTAATGCACAAACTGACTTACTGGAGCCCATTCTACATGGAGAGATACCTTGCTCAGCCTAGACATAGGGGTGTCGGGTGTGGAGAGGTGCCTTGGTACTGCCTCAAGGAAATGATGGGACAGACTTAGTAGACTTCCTAGGGGAGG